ATCTCCCTTGGTCTTCTTTCCTGCTATATATACCCCTCTAATGGGGGAATTCATTGATCTCAGGTTTCTATTTTCGCTGGCTTTCACCATCTAGACGGTGATGGCCTGCGTTTCAAACCTCTCTCCTATGCTGATCTTTCATTTCCAGTCTTGTGGTTCACCTCAGTTGCTTCCGTATTTCATGCCGGTACGTCATTTCTGGTGATACATTTCAATATGCGTTCCACCGGCTAATGAGCTCGTTTCCGGATCCAGAGATATCGTGTAGAACAAAAAGCACATATTCTTCGTGAAAAAAACACATACTAGGCAATTACACCTTACAAAAAACTATGGTAGTGTCTCAATGAATAAATATAAACAATAGCCATAAAGGAATATGGATAATAGACCAATAATAGTGTGTACCATAAACAGATCCTAAATAAATAAATAGTAAATCTAATAGTATATAATATATAATAGTAGGTCTGCTATATGGACCGTAGGAGGTAATATGTCCATATGGAATTTAAAGGGGCCTATGTGTCTATATAAAACAACAAGAGGATATAAGATTATGTGATAGTCCCAACATAAATCTACATGTTAAGATATATATATATAGCCTCTAATGAAAAAGAAAAAGATTAATTTTTATATTAAAATGTCAAATGGTAGAAACTAGAGAAATAAATATATGTAATGAATAAAAACTAAAAACATAAAATATAAGGGATATGTATAAAAACTGAAGATATTAAATTAAAAAATGACACATCTCAAAATCTGCATTTAATCCATTAGGGATCAGAGTATTTAATTTAAAAATGCATTCCAACTCTCGTTTACTTAATTTGTTATTAGAATCTCCTCCTCTCCAATCTTTTTCTACTTTATCGAGACCCAAAAACATAGTGCCTTTCACTTCACTCTTATGAAATTCTTTATAATGGAGAGAGACACTATGTTTTTCAAAGCTCTTAGTAATATTCCCGCCAGAGAAATTCAAAGAAATACTCAGTATACGAGATATAAAGAAAATAGACCCTCTACCCAACAAAATACAAATAAAGAAAGATAAACCTATCGTCCATATAGGAATAGAGAATACCAAAATTATTACCCTAATAAAACATGGGATAATCCCAAACCTAAAGATTGGCAAATACAAAATAAAGGCAATTACAAAGAAAACATGGGACACTACGAGTGGAGGAGGCAAGAGAGAGAACAACAAGAAAACAGACCTACAAATAGAAATGACAGGCGAGAGAAGAATCAATTATAGAAAGGAAAGAGAAGAGAGAACACCAGACAGGAGGCAGATTCAACATAGAATAGAAGCACCTTTGGAGATTAGAAATCGCTTCCAGACATTAGATGAATTCGAAGACCAGGATTTTTGGAAAAGCAAGGGAAAGGACAGACACAAAAAAGACGAGAATTTAGATACCACGACACCATTCAAGAGAAGAAGGAATTCAAGCAAAGAGGCACAAGAGGAGGAAAATATATCCAAAAAAGAAAGGCGAGAAAGAATACAGAGGAATTAATCCCTCTAAAAGGAATATATAATTTAAGTAACAAAAATCTAACAGAAGACCATAAAAAAGTTTTAATGAAAGGTCTCAAATTTGCCCCTAACAAACCCCTAAATCAATTTGATTTTTTTGTAGATCTTTACAGATTTAAAAGAAACTTGTGTTTAAAAAATAGGCTCCTTTAAATTCCATATGGACATATTACCTCCTACGGTCCATATAGCAGACCTACTATTATATATTATATAATATTAGATTTACTATTTATTTATTTAGGATCTGTTTATGGTACACACTATTATTGGTCTATTATCCATATTCCTATATGGCTATTGTTTATATTTATTCATTGAGACACTACCATAGTTTTTTGTAAGGTGTAATTGCCTAGTATGTGTTTTTTTCACGAAGAATATGTGCTTTTTGTTCTACACGATATCTCTGGATCCGGAAACGAGCTCATTAGCCGGTGGAACGCATATTGAAACGCATCACCGGAAATGACGTACCGGCATGAAATACAGAAGCAACTGAGGTGAACCGCAAGACTGGAAATGAAAGATCGGCATAGGAGAGAGGTTTGAAACGCAGGCCATCACCGTCTAGATGGTGAAAGCCCGCAAAAATAGAAACCTGAGATCAATGAATTCCCCCAGTAGAGGGGTATATATAGCAGGAAAGAAGACCAAGGGAGATTACAGAAACATTTTTCTACCCAGCTGAGGAAGCCATTGAGGCAAAATGCATCCTGGGATTTGTGAGCATAGGACTCTTGATCATTGGACTTTAATTTGCCTGTCTTTTATCTGTGTTTTTTATTTAGTATCTTATTGTTATTTTATTGCAATAAATATATATATTTTTTTAAATCTACACACTTAAGGCAATTATATTTTTTTCCTGCTAATAAAAAGAAGGAATGTGGTCCTCAACCACATACGCTATCTGATTTGAGCCTAATTGCAAGGCTCTGGGTTTGTGAGTACGATTTACTCTTATGCTTCATCATTTAGAGGAATATTGCAATATTGCACCATATCTGTTCTCTTTCACAATATAGGATAAAGACATCAAGTGTATCTCCTAAAAGAAGTTAAAGGGTCGCCTCAAAGGACCCCAAAAGTGTATTAATTGAGCTATACCTTTTAGCTCATAAAATTGTGAGTGGTGACTTGTCTTTATCTTTATAATTTTATTTTCCATACAGTCTATACTATGATGTGTTTCTATTTTATGTTTTAAAGGAACGATATACTGTAATAAGATTCTACTATATACACTTACAAAAGGTATACATGCAAGTTTTTTGTTGAATTCACTGCACAAGTGTTATAGACAGAACTTGCACTGTATTAACACTAAGCGCTTCACCGCTAGATTTCCATTGAAACTTCAGAATTAGATCTAACATTTTCAGAAATTCGCATGTATATAAAAAGTACCTCTGCAAATAAAATAAAGAATAGGACCAGAATATATGAAAATGCCATGTAATGTGCCTTACCTTGATTTGCTTCTTAATTAGTTCCAGTGGAAAGCAATGTTTTGTTGTTGGTTTGTAAAGCATTGCATTAGCTTACAGTATGACAAAGGGGAATGAAAAATCCCAGCATTGACTCTTATCATTTATTTGTCAAGCATACATGGGCTTTGTTGGTAAGTATGAGGATATTTAAGGTTAAGGAACACAGTACAATTGTTCCTAACCTGGCACTTGACCTGGGTAACTGGCACAACCCCCCATCTCCATTTGTTCTAGGAGCTACACATGCTCTTGCACTGTAAATGGAGGATTGTCACAATTAGTGCCAAGAGGTGCATATTCGAAACCCAACACTCTACTAATAATGTAGCACAGTACATATGCTTATGGACAGGGAATGGGTGGGTATATCACCATTCTATTTTATTAACTAAATACTTGATATAGCCTAGAATTCACCCATTGCTGATACAGGACACTTAAAACCCCTACTATGAAACTCCCCTCATCCACAAGAGTTGAGCGGCATGAGCAAAGAGTCTTTCTACCAGCAGGGCCGGTGCTAGGATTTTTGACTACACAGGCGAAGATGCATTTTGACGCCCCCCCCCCCCAAAAAAATAAACAATGCATCTTCACCTCTGTGTCTCGTAGCCCCCTTTTGAATTTCTTACCCCCATTAGTGTTGCATATCCACTCTCTTGAATGTCTTATCCCTTTGGCCCCTTTGTGCCTTACACCCCCCTTTAGTGTGTCTCCTACAACACCTCTTATGTATTTCTTACTTCCCCGCCAGCCCCTATCTATCTCTCTTTTTCTTCCACATAGACATAGATACAGGCAAAAATACATACATGCACAAATACACAAACATACAGACACACAACCATACAAGCACACAGACATAATTTTTCAGGCACACAGTCATAAAAGGCACACAAACAAACACAGTCATACAATCTACACATACAGGTACATTGTCATACAAACACAGACATACATTCATACAGACACAGGCCCTCACAGAAATACAGACAGACATAAAGAAACATAGAGATAGGCATACAGAGACATACATACACAGATACCGTGTAAATGCTCCGGCCATCAACAGTGGTGGATGCTCCGTGTCAGGCGGACATCGCTGGATCCACCAGTAAAGTCTTCAATAGGAATAAACGCAGGCAACACTCCAATAGTAAGGATGGTATATTTATTGGTAGGTGAACCACCCCATAGAAAGTGTGATGTTTCAGCTCATGCAATAAGGCTCTGCTGAGCTGAAACAACGCACTTTCTTTGGGGTGGTTCACCTATCAATAAATATACCATCCGTACTATTGGAGTGTTGACTGCGTTTATTCCTTTTGAATACATACACACAGTCATACAGAGACATACATACTGTATGTCTCTGTATGATGGTCTGTGTATGTACACAGGATGGCTAAAAGATAGATCCCCATCTGTCGTGCAACTTCAACAATGCTTTGAAAGCTGGGGCTCTACCGATTCCCCATGCTTGCAGGATTGTATTTAGCATGGAGCAGTATTTGTGTGTTTGACTGTAAGCATGTGTTTGTATGGAGTATGTTTGTATGATTGTAGCGGTGTGTTTGTATGTAGTGTTTGCATTTGAATGCAAGCATGCATTTATGTGTAGTGTTGGTTTTTGAACGCAGGTGTGTGTTTATATATAATTTTGGTGTCCGATACAGAGGTGTGTTTGTATGTAGTGTTGACATTTGAATGCAGGGGTGTGTTTGTATGTAGTGTTGATGTTTGCATGCAGGTGTTTATTTGTGTGTAATGTTGGTGTTTGAATGCTGAGATATATGCACATATACACATACACTGCCACACACGCACACACTGTGATACACATACACAAAGATACACACACTGACACATGCAGATATACATATACACAAACTGATACACATTCAGATAGACACACAGATACACACAAACACTGACAGACATACAGATAAACACACAGTGACATACAGACACACATACACAATGATAGGGAAGAAGACACACAAAGACACACTAACAGACAGACACACACACTAACAGACATTTAGATACACACAGACACACGGACAGAGACATATACATACACACACACACTGACAGACATGGATACACACACACACACTGACAGACATACACACACACACTGACAGACATAGATACACACACACACACTGACAGACATAGATACACACACACACACACTGACAGACATATACACACACACTGACAGACATAGATACACACAGACAGACATAGATACACACAGACACACTGACCAACAGGTTCAGAAGGGGGGCTTACCTGGGATCCAAAGTGCTGCCTGAGGTAGTTGGGAGTTGGAGGAGCTGGTCCTGCCCAGCCCCCTCCTCTCTGCCTTCTGCTGCTCTTGTCTTCTTGGGAGGACTTCCTCCCATGCTGACAAAAAGGGGACCGGTGGTAGCTCCGCCCCTGCTGTTCACCAGCCGCAGTGTGTGCTACAGAGGGAGCAGGGATATGACGTTCATATCCCTGCCCCCTCTACACAGTCCGCGGCACTGCAGGCTGGCGCACGGCCACGCTACAAGAAGTGACCGGCAGGAGAGGGGAGCTGTGCGCTTCCCTCCTGCCGGTCACCCGGACATTTGCGCCCCCGGGCCGGTGCGCCCTAAGGCGGCCGCCTGTGCCGCCTTATGGACGCGCCGGCCCTGTCTACCAGTGACCCTCATTGGTGGTGGTCTTGGGATTAAGCTTGATTTTCTCTACACTCCTTCAACCAACATCCCATTCCTGACTCCAAGTGCTGAATGTAGAAGGTCAGTTCCTCTCACTCTGCATTAGGTTTGCTTGCTCTCTTTGAAGGAGTATACATTTTGTGAATTTTATTTAGATTCGAATCTAAGAATTGTAAACATAATCTTGAAGGGATTTGGTGCTGCAAATATTTTTTTTTATGACCATCCAACTTAATTTAGGTTAATTGTAAATATCCCAAAATAAACTAATATATTTAATGTAAATGAATGCCTTAATGGCACTATGATTATATAGATGGGTAGAGATTACTTTTGTTGTGAAGTATTTATATCTTCATATTTTTGATTTTGTAACTTAATATTTATGATGCAAATTGATCATTTTATGTTTAATTTTTTTGTATATATTTTTTTTAAGAAAAAAGTGATTATTTTAAAACTGGTTTTACCATCATGCTACCTGTGTTGTCACTAACCTTATTACATGGAACGTGTGCGTTGCGTACTCACACAAAATTAATCAACCATAAAACCATAAACCTCTGAAATTTAATGGAGAGTCCAGTTCTCACTCTCCATTGCCATTTTAAACCCTTCATCAAACTACTTATAGACAAAAAATTCATAGCATGGCACAAGCATGTCAGGGTTATTTACAAAAGTGACAATTGTCATGAATTCAAAGTGGATTTAAAATTTATGGAAAAAATAATCAAATTGGAAACATTCTTTAAGTCCAACTACTTTGACCTTAAGTTTGAACTGCACTTTGAATTCATGACAATTCTCAGTCTGCTAAATAGCCCTGTTTATTTTCCCTCCGTCCATTCCTCTTCATATTAAAAACGTGTGGGTAGAATTCTTAATGGTTAAAAATGAATCGGTCAGAGGTATCTATGTAATAAACTCTTCAATTGTATAATACTCTTTAATTGTCCAATAGAATTGTCTAATACACATTCAGTTGAACACTGTGTAGTTTCTTGGTGCTTTCTAAAAAATAAAAAAAATAACTATAACAAACAGAAAATAAATAAATAAACAATGACACAGTAGACTAAAACATCTAAACTACCATCAAATGTCCGTGTACTAATCTAGAGCAAAAAAATTAACAAAGTCATAAAATATTGTATATTACTACTTTTTATGGTCTGGATTGATCAATATCCATATAGATTTCTTTTTAATTTATTTGTGAAAACATGAAAAAGAATACCTATTAGGCATTATTATTCATTTGGTGTAAAAAGAAAAAAAAAAGAAAAAATGATTAAGGATTCTGAGATCATTTTATCCCCTATAGGCAAATATTTACAGCGAGTAGTTTTGCTGACCTACACATTTACAGAGAGTAAAAATGTTTATACAAATCTATTCACTTTCAGCTCCATAGCACACACTAAATCATTTCACCTCCTGGTAGTAACTATTGCTGAAAGAACTCTAGCAGGAGTCAAATGAACAGAAGGGATTCAAATTTACTAGAATAAAAAAAAAGAAATGTCATCTAAGAGTATCAGAAACATCACATTTTTTCATTGTATAACTATTTTCTGCCGCGCCATCTGCTTTTGGCATATTCCAAGTCAAAATAGACTGTGGCTTTGGAGTGAGATTTAACCTCCATGCTGAGAGTACGCAGCAATCTCACCTTCCTGTACCGTTACACTGATCCTGGGCAAACCCTGTAAGGCCAGCTCTCTTGAGGTCTTTAGAAAATGGCCGATGGCAGAGACGTGATGCATGAGGCACAGGCCTCACCTAGCGCATGGGAAGCAGTGTTTCAGAGGGTGTTCAATGCCATTTGCCTGTGTTTCTGGAGTAACCTGGAGTAAAATTTTATTTTTGCAGTTGTTATGGTGCCAGAAGTGTCCTGGTGCCTTTCCATAAAAAGAAATGTATAACAAATTATCTACTGTCTGCTGTGCAGCTGGTGGAATTATTCTCTGGAGTCAGAAGTTCCAGAGATGGTTCTTTGCCTGAGAGCGTCAACTGAGTGCTCTCAGCCAATGAGCACCTCCCTGTACTGCCAGGCTTAACTCAGTGCAGGTAGTTAAAATCACTTACCATTGTTTGATATGAATTCCGAATTATTCAAGGTGCACTGAGACTGCCACCCTCTCAGCAGCAATAAAAATTAAATTCCAGCGCACTCCCTTATTACTAAACAGCAACTTGGAGGCTGACATATTTTGTCTAATCTAGGCTAAAAATAATGGGGGTTTAGTTACATTATATGATCACACATTGCATAAGCCTGCCACAACGTCAATGTACCCCATTTTTGGCAGGTCCTACTCTAACAGCCTAATGTCTCCTCTTATGAGATTAACCCCCCCCCAAAAAAAGAAGGGTGCGGAATTGGTGTGGAAAACAATGAGATTAATTTTGTATATCTGCTATTATATTTATGCTAGTGTGTATCTGTGGATGTTTGTTAGTGTGTGTTTATGTATGTGTCAGTGTATCTATAGCTATATGTATATCTGTAGAGCAACACAAACAGGCGTGGAAAAAGGATGGCGCTTTGTGATGGATAATTTAATTATTTGATTTAGCTGCTGATTACACTTTGTGGGTACTCCAAAAATTCCCACTACAATATATAGACACCGAGAAAACAAACAGCTAAGAGCTTGGTTGGTGTTGCACTCATATTAAGTGTTGGGAAGGTGGCAACACCAACCAGGCTCTTAGCTGTTAATTTTCTTGGTGTCTGTATATGTATATTTGTGTGAGCCTGTGTGTCTGTTTATGTGTACATGGGTGTCTATGAATGTGAGTGTCAATAAATACATTTAACAATTCTAATAGGACATATTTTTAAAATATCAATGAAAACGTTTTTAGGTTTTTAAAATATTTTCTAATACTAATATCAAAGTATTTAACCATGAATATTACACTTTAGCTTTTTTGTTAGTTATCGTGTGTCCATCTATGTTCTGTATTTTATTATGACAGTGCAAAGAAAATGAAGACATTTTAATAGTGAGGATCGCACAATTAAGTAAAGAAAATTGATTGACAAGGGTATAGAAGCGCTATTTGCTTAAAAATAATATTAACCCCTTAAGGACTGGACTGTTTTTGCGATGTTGTACATTTGCGACCAGGCATATTTTTACACTTTTGTGGTGTTTGTGTTTGGCTGTAATTTTCCGCTTTCTCATTTACTGTTCCCATACAAATTATATATTGTTTTTTTCAGGACAAAAGGAGCTTTCTTCACATACCATTATTTATATAATCTCATGTATTTTTATTTTAAAAAAATACAAAAATCTGATGAAAAATTGAAAAAAATACATGTTTTTTGACTTTTACTTGAAAAATCTTTTGCTCATCTACAAAAGCGAATGAAAAAAACTGCTAAATAGATTCAAAATTTTGTCCTGAGTTTAAAAATACCCAGTGTTTACATGCTTTTTTGCTATTTTTTTGCATGTTATAGGGCTATAAGTACAAGTAGGATATTGCGGTTTCAAAACATACATTTTTTAAATTTATCAATAGTGACATTGTAACACTATTATCTGTAATAAATCTCTGAATAACACCCCACATGTACATATTTTTTTTAAAGTAGACAACCCAGGGTATTCAATATGGGGTATGTCCAGTCTTTTTTAGTAGCCACTTAGTCGAAAACACTGGCCAAAGTAAGCATTCATATTTGTTTGTGTGTGAAAAAGTAAAAAAACTAAATTGAACGCTAATTTTGGCCAGTGTTTGTGACCAAGTGGTTACTAAAAAAGACTGGACATACCCCATTTGCAATACCTTGGGTTGTCTTCTTTTGCAAATGGTATGCCATCATGGGGGTAATTCTCATTCCTGGGCTACCATACGCTCTCAAAGGCAACGTAACCAATTTGGCCATTTTCAATGTAAAAATATTTGACCCATATATTTGACCTTGTAACTTTAAAAAATGCTATAAAACCTGTACATGGGGGGTACTGTTTTACTCGGGAGACATCGCTGAACACAAATATTAGATTTTAAAAACTGGAAAACGTATCACAACAATTATATCATCAGTAAAAGTGCTGTTTGTGTGTGAAAAATGCAAAAAAAGTAACTTTCACTGACAATATCATCACTGTGATATGTTTTTGTTTTGAATCACTAATATTTGTGTTCCGTTCTCAGTAAACTACCCCCCATTTAAAGTATAAATGAAACGTTACAGGGTAAAATACAGTGCTAGCAAATTAAATTCTCTGGAATTTCGGCCTGGGTGGCAGGCAGGTCCCTCAAATTGCAATCAATAAAATTACTGAATTATGTAAAAATATTACATAAATACGCACGTAGAATTTAAATATATATGCATATTTATATATTTGAAGTCTACGTGTTATGTAATTTTGTATATGGACATATGTATATTTCTTATTATTTTTATTTATTTTTATATACATAGATATATATACAAATTCATTCTAAGTGTATTTTGATATAAATATATATATATTAATTTTAAAATACAGTTAGAATAAAATTTCATATAGCTATATAATTTTTTTTAAATTTTTTATTATTATTTAAAAAAAATTATTTTATTTAAATTACTTATTATTTATATTTTATAATAATATATATATACAATATATATAGTTATTATATATATTATATATATACGTGTGTAATTTAATTATAAGTGTATTTTTATATTAATATAAGTACATATTAATATAAAAATACACTTAGTATGGCATTAT